CCACCACTGAAAGTTGGATGAGACCACTGGTCCAGCTACTTCAGCACTGTCCACTCTGACCGGTCACAGCTCTCAAGAGCCTTAGGCAAAGATAGGTCTTACTTAGATCCTTGTTTCTTAAGATCCTTTCAAAGACCTCAAGTTCTGAGATCTTAAGTCCCCACATTCGCAAAGCATCAGAGGCCCATGACTAATTAAGGGAGGGCCAGTGAGAATTGAAACAGTCCTCTCCTGGCCCCATCACAATTGTGGTGCTTTGTTTTTTCATTGTAAGAGAAAGAATGAACGTTTTATTACACTCCAAGACCAGACCGTAAAAATTAAAGCAACCAAGTACAATTTGAGAAGACAATAAGATCTCATTAATTAAGTAAATCACTTACTTGTGTGACTGGGCCTGAACATAGTGAAGCCTTACACCTTGAGTGCAGAATTTAGCTATTGTATAGGTGATTTCAGGGTGCTTATCTTTTAAGAAAAGTTCTAAATACCATTGAGCCGAACAGCCAGGCACTCTATCTATTAAGAGTTGGATTAGTTGGGACCAGCAAAATTCTGTGTGAAATGTACTCCTCAAGAAGACCTGTTCTAGGGTTTCGATTTCATTGGAGGCACAGGGGTATTATCTGTGTGAAAAGCGCATCTGATTATATCTGCCATTCATGGCTGCAGAGGAAAAGGCGTTGAAGGGTGCTCTAGAGAAGGCCCAGGGATATTGGGAATAGAGTAACTAGTTGTATAGGTAGTGTGTGGGTTGTGGTTTCCTTGATTCACTACAGAGTCAGTACACAGTAGCCTTGGGGCAGCTGCAAGGTTATTTTGGAGTTCTGTATCTTCTAGACCATCAGAGATAATAATTATAGTTCTTACATATGGGAAAAGCTAGAGGAGTCATCTTGGAACCCCACCTCTACCCCAGTGATGCCAGCTTCTTTGGGGGAGCAGTTCTCCCATCCTTCCGTCAGACATGCTATGTTCAGTAGACTTAAGATGTTCCACACAATGTAAAGGAAATAACTGAGAAATGAAGTATCTCCTTGAGAGCAATTTTCTAGAGGCAACCTTCTACACCACGAAAGCCTCAGGAGATAGTGGTATTTGGTCTGGACTCAGAAGCTAAGCAGGGTTGGGTCATCCGATGAACTCAACAAGCCAATCAAGTATTCTTATGCTTGAGTCATTGAATTAATCCCAAAGTTTTCCTTGAGTCACCTGTGACTCCTAGAATCTTCATGCACAGGCATCTAAATTTCTGGGTCCTCATATGGAATTTGTTTCCATTCCCTTTCTCTGAGATCTTGATTTGATTTCCCAGTCTAGCCCACAGTGCTGGGGATTTTCTAATGGCCTCCCATCCAAGGACTAATCAGATCTCATCTTGCTTAGGTTTCCAAGGTTAAGTAGGTGGGGCCATCTGCTGTAATCAGAGGGTAGGGAAGATTTCTGTCTGTATAGATTGTACAGTATAGATTTCTATGGCAGACACTGTCTGCCATAGAAATGAAGCATTGGGTGAGAATCCAAGAAACCTTTTTACAAGTTAGTTAATTTTCTGAACAATTTCTATAGGTGGGCCTTAGGAACAGGATGCAGGAGGGTTTTTTGGGGGGAGGGGAGTTTCCACCAGCAGGAAAAGGTTGACTCACAAACTCAGCTGAGCTGCAGTGATGCAAAGGGGAAAAAGAACTTTGCTCTGGTTTCAGAAATGTCCACACAGCAGGTGTTATCATGGGACTGGACAGATGCTGCTTCTACATCTCCTCGTCCAAAAGAGCTGTAGGGCTTCGTATTGAAGAATAAGACTTCCCAATAACTAGACAGAGGAAATTAGATTTTCTTTTATTCATCTGGTCTAGGATGCATCTTGCCTGGGAAGCCACTGGTTTAGATATCAAGGCCCCTGCCTTCACCAGAACTCTGTGTTGCCACAGATCCAAAAATAAAGTAATAAAAAAAAATCAGAAGTTCCTTTCATTGAAGCTTCCAGCCACTCAGGCAACCATCAAAGATCTGTAGCTTCCAAAGCAAGCTTTCCTTAAACAACACACAATTAAGAGGACTGAGCAGCAATATGTAATTAAAAGGATGAAGAGCAGCTTAAAGAAATTTGCAGGAAAGCAACACAGGCCCCACCTACAGGTTTGATGTGGGTAGGAATAATGCACTACTATAAAACTCAATGGGAATGGACTAGAAATATCCACACCAGTCAGTGTATCTGCTACACGTTCAGATCTTGCAACCTCAGAAAGGCAACTGAACAGAAAGTTTAGTAGATAAAACGAAGCCCACACCAATGTCATTTTTTTACATTCATGAAGGACTGGGGGGCGGGGGGGGGATGCTAAGCTGGATTCTTGAAGCAGCAAAGGGAAGTGCTAAAATAAAATTAGATGACCCTATTCAAAGTTGGAGTCAAATTTAAAATCTCACTGTTGGAAGTTTCAGCATATTTCTGTCCTATGGAATCTTGGGGTATTTTTTGGGGGTTTTGACTGGTAGTTTCCAAAAGTACTTGATCGATCGATCAGCGTTCAAATATTACAACTTAGATTTGTGACTGTGTTAATCTTGAATATAATAGACATATGCAGTGTTATTTCTTAGGATTTTAATGGCAATATTTTGCTTTCTGTGTAGGATCACAGAACGATAGAATGGAAAAATAGAAGCGAATATGTGTAGCTCAGGGTTGAACTGTGGAGTCCTTGGGGTTCTCTGCGCTTGGCTGTTTTCTTGCAAATGTTTCGTTACCTGGCTAGGGAACATCTTCAGTGCTAGAATGTTTTGCAA